TTGCCTCCGCCGGCGACGTGCCACCTGAGTCGCGAGTCGAGCATGGACGGGGCGAGGCCACGCGAATCGTACCCAGCGTTGTGGACGAAGCGGCCGAGGGAGGGACGACAGCGGAAGGGGGAGATCCCGACTTGGCGGCGCGCAAGAGGGGGGGTAGGGGGAGGGGGGAAGACTTCTTAGAAGCACCCCTGGTTCCTAGAAGGCGCCGGCCTGACCTGCAGGTGTAGGGCCGGCGCCTTCTATGAAGCAGCCTCCTTATAAGAAGCCTTCCCCCCTCCCCCTGCACCCCCCCCATCTGCGCGCCGCCGACCAACCGGCCCGCAGGCAGGACGGAACGCTCAGGGACCGTCAGATGGTGACCCCATGCAGCTTCGGAAGAGCGCGCCGACCGCTGCGGGTACGCGAGAGTGCGGCGAGGCAGCGAGGTGGCGAGAAAGGGCGCAAAGGCCGTGCAGACAGGCGCGGCCTGGTCAGGAAATGGGAAGACCGACTAGCAGAGGCATACGAGCGCGCTCCGAAGAGGCCCCACGAAGCATCCCTGACTCTGCCCCACGTCAGCGTCGTCGTCGCCGCCGACGCCGGCGTCGTGACCGTCGTCCCCCCGCCGGCCGCAAGGCCTTCCCAAGACCTGCAAAGACCTGCAGAAGACACAACCGGGCGCACCGAGGCGTGGTGCGCCAGCAGCAAGGCAAAGAGAGGCGGGCGACGACACCCGGCCAGCCAAGCGGCGACTGAGGAGGGCGGGAAGGCGAACCAAGGAAGGGGCGCCCAGAAACGCGGCCCCTGGGAAGCGGACCCACACTCTTTGAAGCCAGCGGCGCAGAGGGCCCTGAGGCGCGAGCAGCAGATGGAAGTGCTACCTGCGACCGAGCATTGTCGATAGCGCAGCGTGCAAGTGTCGGACACTGCAACATGGAAGCGATGAGTGTGTCAGTGAAAATGTAAGTCCAAACGAAACATACAGCGGCCAGAAGACGAGGGAAATACTCAACTCAAAGCAAATACAAGCACGACAGTCCGAGGCAAACTGCGGAGTGCAAAGGAAAAATGCTGCTGGGCAGATTGGTGGCGTGGCCAACCCCGCGGACCTGCGAGGCAGATTGGTAGGGCGTCGACCTACGGACCAACGCCAGCGGCCGCGATGAGGGGTGAGGGAAGCGGACCCACGCGCACACACTCACTCACACACACTCACTCACTCACACACACACACACACTCACTCACCCACTCACTCACTCACACACACACACACACTCACTCACTCACTCACACACACACACACACGCACACACACACACACATAGGGGAACAAAAAATGGCATAAACATAACAACTCGGAGGTCCGGGCGGATTTCTCGGATCGGCGCTGGACCCCCCTGCCTGGCGCGCGGAGCGCGCCAGGGGCGGCGCCGGAGGCGCCGCCGGGGGGCCCTAGCGCCGATCCGAGAAATCTGCGCGTACCTCTGAGTTGTCATGTTTATGTCACTTTTTGTTCCCCTAACACAGACACTCACACGGCATTCGGAAAATAGGGGGAGGTGCGAGTCCCCACCCCCACCCCACGCCACTTGAGGGGGCGGGGAGGCCGAAGAGTGCCGGGAGCTTTGGGCGAGGGCAGCGGTCGGGAACCCTCGCCTCGTCAAGCGCCCATGGAAGGCGCTCGCTCGAACGTCCGGGTCAATCCCAGTCGCTGTTCACGAACTGGCATGGCTCGGATCCTCTCTCTCCTCTCATGGCGCTGTTCTCCTTGGATGTAGCTCCTTGTCATGACGCATTGTGAAGGCCGCCGCGCACGAGAAGCTCACAGCTCGAAGCGCTCTGCTCAACACAATGAAAAAAGGACGTGGCAGAATCAAGTGCGTGCGGACCCGGGTGGGAGTGCCCAGTACTAGAGATCGAACACGTGCCCCGACAAGGCTGCGCGCATCGCAGTGTCGTGAGACCGACTCGCCACCGACAGCTCGCGGCCGACGAGACCGTCTCGCCACTCCGATCAGCACCCCAGGCTCACCAGACCTTCGATGTCGTAATTTCGCGCGCTGCTGGATTCCCAAAAAAATCCGACCACATCCCTGGGACAGCTGTCTCATCTAGGCAAATTTGTAATCATTGGTCGACGGTCCCCTGAGGCCGAAATTGCTAGAAACCTCCGTCTTCAGTTTGATCAAGGCGCTGGAGGCCTGCGTTACCACGAAGGCCCTGCGAACGGAGAGGCGGAGGCAAGCATGTACAGTCGGGGCGTTGACCTAAGGAACCCTAAATAAGGAACGAGGCCCCTTGTTTCCATAAGTTAACCTTCGATTTCCGATCGGAAACATAAGGAAAACCTGATGCAAGCTGTGAAACACTTAAGGAACGCGGAGCCCCTCCCCAACCAAAAGGGTTCCTTCTTCAGGGCCCCGACTGTATGTCACTGCAGCTGCCTGCGAGGCAGCACACGCTCGGGCCTCGACGATCTTGCCCAGGGTGCCCATGGCCATGGTAGCTCGCCGAGTCACCCTGTCAGAAGGGCGCACTCTCCAATGTCTGCTATTGCACCCCTCTGACGCGATGGTGTTTTCGATGCCGGCAGCTTTTCCTCGGTTCTGGCCTCTTGGGGAACTCCTTCTCCTCCTCCTCCTCCTCCTCCTCCTCCTCCTCCTCCTCCTCCTCCTCCTCGTCCTCCTCCTCCCTCCTCCTCCTCCCCTCTCCTCCTCTCCTCCTCCCTCTCCTCCTCCTCCTCCTTCTCCTCCTCCTCCTCCCATCATCATCACCACCAACAACTACACCATCACCATCAGAATCATGTTCATCATCCTCATCCTACCTCTTGTCTCTTCTCCTCCTCCACCTCCACCTCCACCTCCTGCTCCACCTCCTCCTCCTGATCATCATCATCATCACCACCACCACCACCACCATCATCATCATCATCATCACCATCAGCATCAGCATAAGCATCAGCATCAGCATCATCATCATCAGCATCATCATCGTCATCGTCATCGTCATCATCATCGTCGCCATCGTCATCGTCATCGTCATCGTCATCGTCATCATCCACATCATCATCAGCATCATCATTAGCATCATCAACCTCATCTCAGCATCAGCTTCATCATCAACTTAATCATCATCAGCATCAGCATGATAATCAGCATCATCGTCACCACCACCACCAGGACCAATACCATAACTATAACCATCACCATCACCATCATCATCAGCAGCAGCAGCATCCTCATCGTCATCCTCATCCTCATCATCATCATCATCATCATCAGCATCAGCAGCAGCATCATCATCAGCAGCAGCAGTAGCATCCTCCTCATCACTATCAGCATCATCATCAGCATCATCATCATAAGCATCATCACCATCCTCATCATCAGCATCATCATCATCACCATCACCACCATCTCATCATCAGCAGCATCATCATCATCGTCGTCATCATCAGCATTACCATCATCATCAACAGCAGCAGCATCAGGATCATAATCATCATCAGCAGCAGCAGCAGTAGCATCTTCCTCATCATCCTCGTCCTCATCCTCATCATCATCAGCATCAGCATCATCAACGGCAGCAGCAGCAGTAGCATCCTCCTAATCATCACCATCACCATCACTATCACCATCACCATCACCATCATCAGCATCAGCACCATCCTCATCCTCATCCTCATCTTCATTATCAGCATCAGCATCAGCATAAGCATCATCATCATCAGCATCAGCATCATCATCACCATCACCACCATCATCATCAGCATCATCATCATAACCACCACCACCACCACCACCATCATCATCATCATCACCGCCACTACCACGACCACCACTACCACCATCACCACCACCACCACCATCATCATCATCATCATCATCATCATCAGCATCATCAGCATCATCATCATCATCATCATCACCACCACCACCACCACCACCACCACCATCATCATCATCATCATCATCATCATCAACATCAACATCATCATCATCATCATCATCATCATCATCATCATCAGCATCATCATCATCATCATCATCATCATCATCATCATCATCATCCTGCGTTTGCCTGCAGAGCATGGGAACGGTAGAGGGAAAAGAAGAGGAGCAGCGCACTACAGCCCTCGCCCCTCACTGCCGCCTTCGCTGATCCCAAGCTGCACAGTCGTGCCACCGTGCGAACTCATACCGAGGGCTGAGCGGGAAAAAGATTAGGAGAACCGCGTTGGAGGAAGGAGAGCATGTCCCGCCCCCGGGTGACGGGGGGCACCTGCTCGGGAGACGTCAACGGACCACCTCAACGACCATGGCCTGACCCACCCTGGGCCTGTATTCGGGGGCGCGCAAACATGAATTAGCAATCCATGGATTTGTCGCGCGGTTGCCAAATCCATGGATCGGGGGAGGTGCCCTCCCCAAAATGCGGCCGGTGCCGCCTCGCTCGGCGGCGGAACTCCGCGACTTACAGGGGAAACGGGGCCCGTCGCGAATCCACGTCCCCTTGATCCATGCTTGCGATCGTCTGCTATACGGCGATGCGCCGAGGGGGCAAGTGAGAGGGGCAGGCCTGCTCGGAGAGCGGCGGGGTTGCCCAGAAGCCCCCTGGCCTTCCGAGATGCCCTGCAGCCTTGGAGAGAAAGCTCAGGAAGCTTCTCATCAGAAGGCCGGAAGTCTTCAGAGCCTTCCGAGAAGGCCCGCCCCCCTGGCCCGTCCCCCCCCCGGCATGCCGCGCCGACCTGCAGAGACCGCAGAAGCCAGCCAGCGGTTGCGCGGCGATTTTTGTTCCTGCAGGTCCCGGCACGTGCACGCGCGGGCTGCCTACTCCCGCGGGGCGCTGTCGCCGTCCGCGCGGAAAAATCTCAAACATCCCTCTGCGCGGTTCGGTGGCCCTTCGCATCAGGCAGCCATCCGGAGGCGAGCGAGCGGGGGGGAAGTGAGAATGAGGAGGCCTTCTCAGAAGGCAGCGGGGCTTCTCAGAAGGCCTCCAGCCGTCTGAGAGGCTATCGGTCTCTGCGGGGAAGGCTTAGAAAACCTTTCATCAGGAGGCTGGGGGACCTCCCGAGCCTTCGGAGAAGGCCCGCCCCTTCCCACTTCCCCCCCAGACTCGCCGCCGAACCATCGTGCTACAATCAGGAACGCCGAGTAGTAAGGAACGGTAAGCGCTTCTGGCCACGGCGAGCCTCGGCTTCGAATAGGTTCGCCGACCCAGATCGACGGAACGACCCGAAAACCAGAGCTCCTCCTGAGCCCGAAGTGGTCCTTCTCTCACCGCCTCGACTGCAAGCACCCGCGCGCGGGCGCAGCCGCCGCACACACCATGGGACGCACAGAGACATACTCATACTCCATGTCCTCCTTGGAGGCGCGCGTCCGACCCAAACATGTAGTAAACCCATCTTGTAGCATATCGTTTTCCGAGCGGTGTGGCCCAGAAAGCGCCCGCCACGACGTACATACTACAAGATTTCTCGGTGCGCGCGTCGCCCCTGGGGGGGGCGACGTACACACAGTGTAAGCATGTTTGGTTGGCGCACACCCCCAGTCTGCGCACTCGCGGAGGTGGCAGGGGAGGTGCGTCGGCTGCCCGGGCACAGCTCCGAGAGGCAACTCTCGGAGGCGCGAGGCAGGCGCGCCCGAGGCACGCGGAGGCTCGGACTCGCGAGCCTCGCCCGGGGCGGCCCGCGAGGCGGCGCAGGGCGCGCTTTTCACACACAGGTCGGGGCGTTTGCCCTGTTTGGCACACGAGGAGGAGGAGGAGGGAGGAGGAGGAGGAGGAGGAGGAGGAGGAGGAGGAGGAGGAGGAGGAGGAGGAGGAGGATACGTGTGTGAACGTGTTCTTATTCGGCGCTTCGACGTTGGGCGGAAGGGGATGGGGGGAGAGAGGGGGGATCTGGCTGTGGACCTCTGCTTCATATGCGACTGCTGGCAGCGGTGCGTCCCATGGGGGAGGGACTCCACCTGCTCGGAACAGACGCCAAAAACAGCCAAGATCTGCTCCAGAGGGAGGGGGGAGGGGGGGGGGGCGAGGGCCCGCGCCGATCGGCAAAACAATGCATACAAAAAACGATCACGTGGAGGTGGGGCGGCTTCCCTGCTTGGCACGAGTGTCATGCGCTTGTGAGTTATGTGTGTGGTGCATGTCTGGTGCGCGTGTTGGTGAGTTTGGGGTGCACACGCTGGCGCCCGCGGCGCCCGCAGCACTCGCGAGGGCCGCGGGGGAACCTCTGTGAAGCTGCAGCGCGCGCCAAGAGCAGCCGGGGGCATTTCTGGCGCCTTTCTGGTACACCCTGCGAAATGCTTAAGAAATCATGGGTTAAGAAATTCAGAGTCTCAGAATTTGATTACAAACCCAGAATTTCCATTGAAATCTTAGGATTTACATTGAAACATTAAGAATAATCGAGACTCTGGCCGAAAACTTGGGTTTTCTTAAGCATCGCCTGGAGTGTATCCGTCACCGTGCCCCAAGGTACGGCACGAAGGGAGTCTCCCCAGGTCTCTTAGAACCCTCTGCATTCAGCATCGAGAACCTCACCCTGGGCGCCCATGGGCGCTCCTGGGGCTTGTCGCATGTCCTCGCGCGCATGTTCCAGAGTTCAGAGCGCTAAGACGGCCCAAGATGGCCCCGAGACGTCCGAAGATCGCTCCAAGACACACAAGATGGCCTCCACACGGCCCAAGGGGCCCCAAGAAGGATACGAGAGGCCGAGAGGCCCCCAAAGATGGCCACGAGAAGCCAAAATCGTTGCTTATCCTTCGGTTTCGGAAGGGTTGAAACGTTCTCGCTTTTGGACGCTCCAAGACGGCCCAAGAGACCCCAAAGAGGCCCCCGGATAGTCAAAGAGGGCCCCAAGAGGGCCCAAGAGAGCCCCCAGAGGGGAACTCTAATTTTCGTTTCGTGTCCTCCGCCTCGAGGTGGCCCTCCAGCAGACCCACACGGGGCCGCGAACAGCCCCAGAAGCCCCCAGGAGACCCAAATCAAGCCCCAACCCCAAGAAACCCTCCCACAAGTCTTCAAGAAGCTCCCAAGAGGCCTCCCCAGAGATCCAGACAGGCATCCAAGAGGCCTCCAGCCCAACCACGCTGACAGGATGGGCCGAAGGCCACTAAATCTGCCACCGTGCCTCTGGGCACGGAGTGGGAATGTCCTCAGGTCATTCGCCCAATCCTCTAAGCCTCAATCCTTACTCCTGAGGAGTCTCTGAGGGGCCTGGATCCCGAATTGCCGAATCTCTTGGAGCTTGTCGCGTGCCACCTGGGCCACCTGGGGCCCTCTTGGCCCGTCTTCGGGCCCAAGAGGGTCCCAAGAGGGGCCAAGGGGGACCCACCAGGCCCCCGAGACGGTCCAAGAGGGCCCCGAGTCGCCGAAAGTTCGCTCCAAGACGCCCACGACGGCCTCAAGATGGCCCAAGAGGCCTCCAAGACGCCCTAAGAGGCCTCCAAGAGTCCTCCAAGGAGGGCCCCAAGAGGCAAAAATCATGGATGTACCTCTAAGGTTTTTGAAGG